CTTGCCCTGTTGTCAGTCTGTGTCTGGGATTCTTGCGGTTGGGCACATTGTTGCAAGCGTCAATGGGATTATGGCCCACTGCTTATGTATGGTATAGTCAGTCAAGTGCACCCTAGCTTAAGTCTAACTTGGTCAACATCACTAGCAAGGGGTCTGTTTAGTTGTAGCCTGGGCACAGAGAGTGTTCAAGGCTAGGTCAAGCAGCAGTGTACCTGCAGTATATGCCCACATTAACCTTGTTGTGAAGTTTCCTTGCCTCACATTCTTCAGAAGACTCTCGCGGACATCCACGTCATCTTCGTTGACAACTGCACAGTGACACGACATACAGCAAAAGTATCCAACAAGACACATTCCTCCCGGCCTATTTGTGTTCATGTTCTCATGACCTTGTTGCCGTTGTCGTGTTCAGTGAATACTTTCAGTCGGGCCCATTCATCTTACAGCTGTGTTGCATGATCCAACCATAAATCTTCATCCATAATCAACCATGTAAATAGGGGTGGCAGCCCCTTCAAGACAGTTACAATGTATCTACAGAGACAGATAGCAACAGTTTATACATCAGATACCTGAACATGTTCCGTGGACCACTGAAGTTCAGATGGGAATGATGTTGTAATCGCTCTTGTACTTCCTTCGCGTCACTGAGAGGCGATAATTGGTCGAGATATCCCAGATCGACTTGTGCTCCTGCTCCGTACATGCGGCTTTGCAAAGTCAGCCGGGCCACAAGTGTTGCAAGCAAGTATACAACGGACTTACCGACAATGTTATGGACCGGCGTAGTTTCTTCTTCGTTTGACAAGATGAGGGTGTTGTCCTTGGCGCCCTCCCTCCGTAACCGAGCAATCTGTTTCTTGAGACTGCGTTTGGCTTTCAGTCCAAGCGCAGAAGTGTTCAAAGCAGCAATGACTTACCGCTTGGGTTCAGCAACCTGACCGTTTTTCAAGGCAGACTCCATGCCCGCCAGTGAGTCCATGTGTACTGCGTCCACTACTTGAATGCCATCCAACCAATAGATGTTCTTGATCCACGCGGGCCAGAAGGTATAACCGTTATATATTTCGGTATTTGGGGCCAAGACCACGGCAGATCCTACACAAATGGTGCGCTCGACTGGCTCCGGGGGGGCCTCGATCTCCCATTTGACGATGGCGGTCGAACGGTAGTTCTTTTTGCTGCAAACCATAGTCAATTCCGTACTCCAATAGAACGCCGCCGGGTCCACTTACTACAGATATCTTTTCGCCGCAGGATGGTCCTTCAGACACATGACCGAGATGGGAGCCGTAGACATATTAGCTTGCTGTATGTACTCTGCCTGATAGTGCCGGAGTGTGTCCAAGGTTTCAGAGTCTTTCTTCCACATGTCAGAGGAGGTACGCTTGTCCTGTTGAACGCGCGGACGGGGCGGTACGGCGGCGCAGATTGGACGGAATGATTCGAAGTATTTGCGAGTGGTGGGTTCCTTCTGAGCGCGAGGCATGGTCGACTAACGAGTCCGTAGAGTAGGGGATGCAGATTGGGGATGGTGGTGGTTCGACAGAGCAAGAGGCGCGCGCGATATGGGCACATATTGGCCCATCAATTCCCGGCCCGTCACTCCGCATCAACCACAGCATGAGGATAACCACCGTAGCTGCCGTCGTGGCATATCTAGCATCCAGGTACCACGTGTCTTTTATCTATCTGAACCTTGGCATGGAGCCCGACTCGCGTTGACGCCAACCGCTTCCTAGGTGTACCTAGCTTAGATGTGACAATAGTATCTCTGTACCTTCGGAGTGTTGGTTCAAATGCCTTAAGCCTCGCAAGCCGCAGTTACCTTTCGTGTACTATCTGTACCATCTGAGAAAGGTATGCTCCGTCGCTACATAGCATGAATGTGAGTTGTCAGGCTTTCGGGCCCAGAACGCGATCGGACGCATCGGTACAGAAAGTAAGGCTTGTATTCGTATAGCTAACGTGAGCTATACGACATTGTGTGCTATGAATATGAGCCGTTAGCTGGCCTTTTGATGCCCGCACGATAAGGTGGAAGAGTAAAGCCAAAGGGATAGTGATGACGTCACTGACCCTATGACATTCCTGCTTAGTGCAATCACAGCATACGCACTTCTGCTATGCCTGTGCTGCGAGAGCTAGCCTAGCGGGTACAAGTGCCTGCAGATGGCCATGACGCCAGATCAGGAAATCTGCGCCACACGGAGCCACACGAGCCATGCGAATGCGGATCAAGTGTAATGACCTTGCCTTAATTGCGGGGTCGATCGTTCAGATCTACCATGGAGTTGTCTTCCGCTTGGGCGTATTCTAGTATTGTAGCAGTTCTAGAT